GCAAATACGTGTAATAGGAATGATTCAACAGCTGTCCCAGACATCTGGAAAATTCTACTACCCCTATGACGATAAATGCGAGAGAGAACAAAGAAAACTATAAAACTCAAGTTTCGAAGTCATGTGTTTATATTTGATATGATTATGAACAGTACTAAATTTTGTTCGAAACGTCATCCAGTAAACACTAATACTGTTTCACTGTGTCATACATCTAATAAACAAAGGTATGCGTATATATATATATATATATACAAAAGGATACATCGTGTCTTTAAAATTCTTGCCTAATCATGTGAGTCTTAAATAGACATCAAAACAAAATAAACAAAATTGCATGAAATGTGTTCAAATTATGAACACAGACATACTATTGGTAGTCTGCTTTTGCATCAGACTTCAGTGATCATGTTCGACTAAAGGTCATAGTCACAGATAACTGCAAATGAAAGAAATATGTATGCGATATATAGTGATATCTGTGTATGTGTGTGTGCATAGGAGAACAACTCTAAAAAATTTGTTAACCTTTACATAAGAAGACACACAACAATCGGGAAAATAGAATAAGCCTGAGAGTTAGTGATACATATCCATTTTTATTTATTAATCAGGACTTACCGTCCATCAGCCAACATCACACCTTCATGCCTGTTCAAGCTTTTGGAACTTACATGTATGTGTAGGGCTTCTGCAGTCAGTCTTTAGTTATACGAACCAAAACCTTTCTTGTTTTGATTTTCTTAACACGCTGGGATTAATTTGAATAATTTATAATGAATCAATCTGACTCAGCGCTCAAATTATTTCAGGAAGTTTATAACACCTATGGCTTGGAAACCTATAATCTTTCTGTAGAACCTTAGTCCATTTAAAGGTTGATCTGTTGTCCCATTTCTATGGTGTGTAGTGCAATCGCCGATCTGTTTTCTATCTTCTTCAAATCTGCAGAGGTTTTGGGAACCACCTTTAGACATTGTTTATGCTCCTTCACTCTTACATTTACCTGTCTGGTAGTTTCTCCTACATACACAGAGTTATAATCCCCCCCCCCGCCAATTCACCTGGTAAATACAATTTTGGAAAAAGAAAGAAGAAACATTGGCGGAGAATAATCTGGATCCATTTTATTTCGTCGGTTCTCATCGGTTGCGTACAACCTAAATTTTTTAATAAAATATAAATAAAAAGTGTACAATTTTAACAAAATTTTGTCCATTAGCAAGCATAGTGTCAGAGCGTCATAGTGAAATAAGGCGTTGCGATTTACAAGGTGTCTAAAGGGTTACGACATATATATCTGGTTAGAGAGAAGTTTCTTGAAAAAATTAATTAACAGTTGTGTTGTTGGGGTTGTAGCAAAAGAAAATTAGTAATAGTTATGTAATTAGACAAGAGAAGATCAAAATTACGGTGCACATGGGGTCAGATGAGAAGTTGATGATGTAATACAGTGAGCAGAACTCAGAAGATGAAGAAAAATTATCTCTTAAGAGAGTCAAGTGAAAAGATATGTTAACAAAATTAACAAAATTAGAAAACAGAGAGTTACTAAGAAGTGAGTTACCAGGGTAATTGAAGTCCAACAACGGATTCTTTTTGGACACATAAGTCAGGCTTCAATCGTTTTGTTGCTATAGCTTCAGCAAACCTGAGAAGACTTGAGGTACTTTGTCTGTTAATTATTTTGAATGATTCCAGCACATCTACTCGGTGTCCTGTGTCAATCAGGTGTTTGGCGATTGAAGAGCTTAGACAATTCGGTCCCTTTAACTGGAGGCTCCTTGATACATGCTCGCAGAATCTGATGTAAGCCCTCCTTTCTGTTCTTCCAATGTAACTGCTCCCGGAGATACATGTGAATTGGTATACACAGTTGGAGGTAACATGTGAGGGGTATTTGTCAATCTGTGACTGCACCAGTGAGGAGGTTGTTCAACGTAGAGAGACTAATAATGCCTTATCTCATCCGATGTTTCTTTGCAGTAAGGAATCCCCGCTGTACTAACCAAAGTCTTAGTAACAGGTTTCTATTCATCCTTATCTTCACTTTTTAAATAACTTTTTATAAAGGCTTTAGGATAATTATTTGATTCAAGGTTTAGCTTAACCATATCTTAGTTCCCTGTTGATATCCTCCTCAGTAACTAGACGTTTGCCTGTATTAATCAAATTCTTGGTCACAGTTACTTTGATGGTGAAGGGATATACCGAATTGTAGTCTAGATATCTGCCCGAATGTGTCAGCTTTCTGGTTGACTTTTTACCAACCAGTCCAGGGAAGCCAAATCATTTGCATCGGATTCAATCTATTTTGAAAACTTAGTGGTGTTTGATATAAATTGTTTGTTAATTGAAAAATTTCGTTCAGTGTACGGTGTTTGATTATGACAAAGGTATCATCTACATACCTCGACCACATTCTTAGAGGATTAGAGAATCTCATAATTGCATTTGTTTCTAATGAGTGCATAAACAGATTGGCGACTAGCGGAGACACTGATGATCTCACAGCAATGCCTTCTATTTGACGATAAAGAACCTCCCTAAATGTAAAGAACGTGGAGGGTAGACACACTTTCAATGACTTCATAATTTCATCTCGATGTTAAAGGATATCAAACACTTACTTAGTTGTCTGAACGAAGTAAATAATATATCATACCAAAAGAATCCTCCGTGGGAACATTCGCGAATAATGGGTGAGCATCGAAGCTTGACGTTATTTCATCTTCTTCAATATAAGTACAGGTAATTTCGCTCTGAAATTCATATGAGTTCTTCACCGAGAAGCTGTAGGCTGGAGAATTAGTAAAATCCACAATTGGAGATGAATTTTTAAAGTTATGGAAAGACTTATTTTACTTAATCTTGAACCCTCTTTAAAGCCTTTCAATCACCCCAGCCAGTTTGCTTATAAACAAAGTAGGCGTACCTTAGATGCCGCTGTTGCTCTATATCATAATATAGTCTCTAGTTTAGATAAAGGAGCTAACTACGTTAGGTGTGCCTTCCTTGATTACACATCCGCATTTGACTCTGTACCTAGGTCTCTCTTGCTAAGTAAGCTTGCTGCAACATAGGCTGATAACTGGACAAATAAGTGGTTGCGTTCCTATTTTTCTGATAGGAGGCAGTACACCATCTACAATGGAAAGTCCTCCACTACCTCACTTACTTTAGCCGGTGTTCCTCAAGGTGCTGTTCTTTCTCCTTTTCTGTTTTCTTTTTTCTTACATGACCTGCCCCATTCTGATGTAGCCACTTTTGTCAAGTATGCTGATGACGTCTCTGTTTCTATGCCTGTCAACTCTCAGTCAGATTGTTCCAAACTAAATTACTTTCTGTCGGAAATTAGTCAGTGGTCCTTTTCAAACGGTCTTAAGCCAAATCCGTCTAAATGTCAGGTAGTCAATTTCACTTTCAGACGAAAACGTGACCTACAACAACTGGCTAGCTCACATGGCCCCAATATCATTGACGGTATAGAGGTTGAAACTAAATCTGATGTCAGGTACCTTGGACTGAGTATTTCCTCCGATCTTTCCTGGTCCTCTCACATCTTGCTAGTGACTAGGAAGATGTTTCGCTTAACGTTCTACGTTAGGAAATTAAGGCAGTCTGGTATAAAGCAGTCTTTACTTTCTCAGTTTGTCAATTCTTGTACTCTACCCATCCCTCTTTACTGCTCCCCATTAATCTTCCCTGGACTACTTAAGAAAGACCTTGCTTTGCTCAGAAGGGCACTAAAAGCTGTTAGTAGGGGAAGTGGGATATCGTTAAACCAACTGGTTAATACTATTGTGGATAGACATATAATGTCATGTAAGAAACTAGCGAATACTATATTATCAGACCCTGAGCATCCTCTCTATACGCAGCTCTCTCCTTGCATTTCATATGGTAGACCTAGAAGCAGCTATAGGAGGCTATACGTTAGGACTACCAAGTACAAGAACTCCACAATACCATATCGGCTACAGCTGTTTTGTGATGAGAAATCCGTTAGGTATGACACGATCAACTTACCGCGGCACTCTAACAAATAGTTCCCATTAGCTTTTGTTCTCCTTTCTTTGTTACTATTATATTTGTTGCTCACATCTTCTATTACACACTAATTTTATATTTCATATTCCTGTGGTGCATTGTTTAAAATATGAATGCAACGCTGTTCTTTTTTATTTCTTTTTATTTACCTATTTTTTCGTTGTTGTTGCTTTTTGTTTTTAAAATCTTATAAAATTTATGCGGTAATTAGATGTAATATTGTAATGCACGCTGAAAATTCCATACCTGTACCACAAATACTGTTTGGAATAAAGCTGTTATTATTATTATTTAATCAATTCGCCCAAAGAAGTTCCGGATCAGTTTGCCGAAAGAAACTTAGGAATTGTTTATTTCAGTTCAGCTGAGATATTACAATTCTATTTTTTAAATAATTAATAAATCTATATAATTTAGTTTTAGATTTTCCCGTCGATTGATTGGACCGAAGTGCTCGGTTTCAGGTTGACATGTCGGCTTCTTGTGCAGACGCTTCCATGATGTCTGGTCATGCAATTAGAAGTTAATTGGTGAATGATGACTAGCAGTGGAATCCAGGATAACGCGCACTTCGTCACATTCGAGACTCGTCATCTGGATGTACCTAGACAGAGCACTTCGGTCTAATCAATCGACAGGAAAATCTAAAATTGAATTGAATAATTAATATGACCCGTTGCACAAGAGACAGTGGCTCTCGTGGCTCAAGTGGTCCAATGGATAACGCTTTGGCTGGCATTTGAAACTATGGGCACTGGGTTCGAGCCTCGGTGCGGGGAACATCAACACTCACTGGGGAATGCAGGTATGTCCAGCTAGCCGGTGAGTCCCAAATAGGAGGAAATGCGAAATGCGCATCCGGGATTCCCCTGCTAATCATCATTCCTGTGTAGGGAGTTTCGCGCCAATGCCACACACACATACACACTCATGCATCAAAACAGACAAAATCTTTCGAGAAATTATAATTCAAAAGAAATAAAACCAAAATAGACAACTTAAAAATAATAACAGTAATAATAATAATAATAATAATAATAATAATCGAATCAGTTGGATTTTGTAAGGAAAGGAAAACGTAAACTGCACATTTTCAACTTCATGTAATCATTTCTAGTTAACGATAGATAAACCGATACACACACGCACAGTATACATTTATATACAGAGAGGGACATACACACGCACACACGCAAGTATCGTCAAAATGTTTGTAATTTTTATAAAATAAATGTTAATTTTTAAAATAGTCTTAATGTTATCATTATTCTTGTTTAAATGTATCTACAACGTGTTTATATGGATACTGGCGGTTGATTTAAAATGTGTGTTTAAATAAACACAAAGACAACTGTCTGTACACACTGATACACACACATACACATAGACAGAAAGATAGATGCATAGACACACATACACTGGGAGCCAATAAAAGGATCAACTTGTAATAGACAAAGAAATGGATAAAGTCAAAAAGTAAAATGAAAGCAATCTGAAGTGAACACGAATAGAAACAAAACAAAACAAAACGAGACGAGATGTACAAACAAATCGGATATTGTGGCAAAAACAATAACAGCGACAACAACAAGAACAACGTCTGAAGCAGAAATGATATTTTAAAAGCCTCTTTCTTCCTAGATGAAGGTGGAATATAGCACACCACAGAAACGCCAACAGACATACATTCACACACACACAGACAAAATAAGTTTTAGAACTAACATAAAGATCTACTAGAAAAGGGAAATAGACAAGCAGACAGATAAGCCAGATCTGTACGGAAGCTTACAGGATAGATGATTGATAAATGAAAGCGGAGGCTGTCGAGACAACACACGCGCACGTCCGCACACACAAACACAAAGGGAAGGAAATATTGTTATTTACATTTTCTTTTTGACATGACACAGAAGAGATAAATCATACAATAGACGCAAAAAGAGATCATATCTTTTATATTTCTCCTTTGGACAATGAAGGCGTTTGTGTGTGTATGTGCATCCACACATCATCATTCCAGTTTATTTACCTTCAAGAAGGAAATAAATCCGACAGCCGATCCAAGAAACAGACAAACCACAACACATGGTAAACGGATAAAGTGATGTGTTTGTGTGTGTGTATGTGTGGAAAATGACGTAATTGGGGATGATATAAGTCTCGGCGATCATCTTATTGATGAGAGAGAGAGAGCAATACATTTATCTATCTATATGTACACATTCACGTCGGTAGTACGTGCATCACACACACTAGACAGGCAGACAGACAACCAGACAACACACACACACACGAATGAAAAGTCAACATGGTGTGTACAAGCAATAATAATAATAACAATACAGTTACATATACCTTGTAGCTGACGTAAGCAGATAAGTTTTTATTCTTGACAAAAATAAAGAAGTACATGACTAGTTAGTACACGCGGAAAAAAAGAGACAGACGACGCCGCATAACAGGCAACAATGAGCGCGTATCGACAGTGGACAAGCAAATCAATGAATATCTATTGGTAGAAACAGTCAACCAGACAGAAACAAGAGATCTTATGAAGTATGAACAGAATTTTCATCCTTATCCCCATTATCCTTCTCCTCCTTTGAGTTACAACCGTCAGTGGCTTGGACATTACTTGCAGCAGCAGTAGCAGCAGCATCAGCGGCGGCGGCGGCTGTAGGAATAGTATTCTCAGTTGTAGTAGTAATAGTGCTGCTGGCGACGGGAATGGTAGTGGTCGGCTCTGGTGCTGTGACACCACTACAATCACCACTAACTTCTACATTCCCAATCGGTGTAGGTGATGTAGTGGCAGTGGTAGTCGGCTTAGAAGCTGCTGTCGCTCCTCGACGACGTTTATGCTTTGTAGTCGTAGCGTTGTTGGTGGTGGCGTTCGTCATATCTTTACGTGAGCCTCCTCCACTGCGTAGAGTAGGCGTAGTAGACGTTGATGACGCTGATGACGAGGAGGAGCACGAAGAGGCACATGGGTGGTCATTTGTCGCTGGCAGAAGATTATCACCCCCCATAGTAGCAGCAGTAGTACCAGCAAAACCATCAGCACCACTATCATTGTTCGTCACACCAGAGTCTAAATGTTGATGATGATGCGGAGATGTTGAATTATCACCGGCGACTAATCCCTCCGCTGTATAATCCTCTTCTTCATCTTCGTATTCCTCTTCTTCTTCTTCCTCTTCTACAACCGGTTCTAGACCAGGATCTTCTTTAACCTCTAGAACCTAAGGATTAAAACAAACAAAAAACAAAAACATAAGAGAACGGGCTTACTACAGAGTTGGTGGAATCGAACCTTGAACCAGGTGCATAGCTCGACAGCATCCTATAGCTGAAAAACCGACGCACCATTCAACTACAGAATAATAATAACAATATCATGTTAACGCCTTGAGTGATTGTTGAAACATTCATAGTAATTGGATAGACGGAGCTGATATGTCGACAACGGCTGAACATTACACACTCCCCAATAAAATCAACCATATTAGATTGTCACAAAGTGACTGAATGTGGTTAGAAAACCTTTGGAGGTAGTAGTAGTAGTAGTACCAGAATAGTTGCACGTTTCGGACTAGTTTGGGACTCTTCAACAGTACATACCACCACAGAGTATCTAACCCAGCACCTTTAGGTCACACAAGGGAAACCTATTGATATTTAGGTCATTGGGGATGGTATTTAATATCCAGCCCTTCAATTCTAATTTTTGTCAATTTGCGATAATATTGCGCAATCCCATCCCCAGTGAGGTGATAGGTGCCTACGGGTCATAAATCGGGGCGAAACAGTTGGCCACTATTCCTTGAAGGTTTGCAATGGTTTTCTGACTGAAGTCATTTTGTGATCGTACTCATTCACAAAAACTAAGGAGGGAATTTTAATTACAAAAACTGTCAAACACTTACATTATTCAAGTGAACTGTCGACAAGATTCGACAGAATAGTTCTATGCTATATATAAACCTCTGTTATGTTAATTTCGATTAATTTCCCTGAAGAAGTTCGGACCAGATTGCCGAACGCAAGAAACGTTGGAATTATTCATTTCAATCTCGTTGAGATTTTATAAATATAATTTTTTACAAATGTCTACTTCTCACTCTCTGCCTAAATATTTTAGAACTATTCTGTCAAATCTTGACGACAGTTCATTTGAATTATTTTGCTATCGAATTAAATTAACAAAGAAACTATGTAATTGGCACAATCATCGTGTTTTCAGTCTCCGTTGTCTGGAACAAAATGCACATCCTAAATCCGTAGCTGTCGAGTCACCTGACAACTCCAGTAGGCCGAATAAAGCAGCCCAATCTTCAGAAAGAAGACAAAGCAGCAAGTCCGACAGGGTGCTTCTACTAAACGCTAATCCTAAACCCCATAATTTTGAAAATACGTCTGATCATAAAATTCTAGATACTAACAGTTTGAACAGACATGAAGGTGTGATGTTAGCTGATGCATAGGAAATCCTGATTAATAAATAATAATGGATATGTATCACTAATTAATCATACTTGGTCAAAATTCCCAACTGTCCATATCTTCTTATGGAGACGTTAACAAATGTATTACAACTGTTTATCCACACACACATACACACTCTGTTTAAAGTGTTTAACAAAGGTAGACCAATATTTGTAAGTCCGAGGTCAAATTTTGATCACAGCTCATAAAATTTTGTTTATTATACATGTTGATACTTGTTTCATGACTCATATGATTGGACAAAGTTTTTAAAAACAAGAGATGTCCCCCTTTTTATATATAAACCTCTGTTATGTTAATTTCGATTAATTTCCCTGAAGAAGTTCGGACCAGATTACCGAACCAGAAACGTTGGAATTCATCATTTCAATTTCGCTGAGATTTTATAAAAATGATTTTTTTACAAATCAATTACACTATTTATGTGTAACTTAGATTTTAAATCTACGTATTATTGGACAAGAAACTGTTTCATCATGTCGAAAACCTTGTAACCTAAATTAATTTCCGTAGGAGTAATATAATTTTCTTTTTAAATATGTTTGATGTACTTTAAAGTTTCTGTAGCGGTTGGATAGGGGTGGGGTCGCCCCCCTCATGCCTTTTCCGGGGTTTAGGACCGGGACTAGATCCAAATTTCGAAAACTAACATCACGTCGGTCAGTGCTTCCATATGGGTCGAAATTTGTGTGTGTGTCATGAAAAGCATCTCTAACTTCCTACTACAGACTTTTATCACCAGCTGCCCTCTCTGGCTCTATGCTGAAGATCAGATGGCCAGCCAGAAATCAATAGCATTAAGTAACTCTGGGGATGAACAAACCATGAAACTGAAGGAAATGGAGATGGATCGGACACACGCTGAGGAGGCTGTCGGGTGACATCGCGCGCTAGGCTATTGCTCAAGTGGAACCCTAATGGGAAACAGTGAGTTGGGAAGTCGTTTGGAGCGCGGAATGGTGAAGATCGTACGATGAGGAAGGACATCAGAGACTATAGGAGATCGTGGAGCCAGCTAGAGAGGACTTCAGAGACTAGGACAAAGTGGAGATGTACCAAAAGGGACACTAATCAAATAATAATATTTGTCAAAGAGAATACAATAGAAAAAAACATAAAACAAACAAAGAAAGAAACCGCCTTCACTTACTTCAACCGTTTGAGCTGGAAGTGATATTGACACTGATGATGGAGTAGGAACTGAGCCACCTCCACTGCCGCCTACCACAGGTACAGGAATTCCAGTTGCAGATAATTTCAAACCACTAACACCAACCAATTGGACAGTATCATCTGTTACAGAGGCTGTCAAATTACCACTGCCACCAGCCCCAGCAATTGGTACATTATTATTCTCCAAAAATGATCCAGTAGTTGTAGCGCCAGTTGCGACACCACCACCACCTGCACCCGCACTACCACCAACAACAACCAACGGAGATACTACTGTTGGTTGTGCTGTTGACAACATCACATGATGATGACTCGCTGGTAGAGGTACACCACTTACAGATGACAGAGGAACACATGGTGAGAGTTGATTATTCGCCTGAGATCTTAATGTATTATCAACAACTGCCAGTGAGGATAGAGGAGCAGCGACAGATGCAGTTCCAGGATAATGATCTACCATATCTATACGTCTAGCAGAACCAGGTTCATTGATCTCTACGCCTTGATGATATTCAGGCAATTGCATATATTCATGATCTCCAGTGAGTACAGGTGACGTGGTATTATATTCATAATTAAAGTTTGTAGGATCTATATGATTAGGTAGAAATTCATTTGGATTATACGTGGTAAGTGTATTCGACGGTTGTTCAGCAGGATATTCTTTTCTAGATAACCATCGTAGTGGACATCCTAATAGACATGATATAAACAGAGCTGTACCAGCGAATAGAAAGCCAATAGCTGAAGCATTATGCACAGGAGCAGTATCTGCTGTAAAGATATTCAACGGTGGCAGGCTCTCTATTCGCTTATCTCTTAAATAGCCTAAAATAAAAGTTGAAAAGGAAGTAAATTGTTTACATTTAAAAACACAAACTACTCATAAGTAGCTGAAAGTAAATTATACAAAAAAGCAATGGTGATAATCAATCATCTGAACATGCATTTCACGATTAGTGATGAACTGTCGAGTATGTCTAGCAAGAACTACTCTATTATGATTAGTTGTAATTCTGTTTTTACTCCGTCTCCACCTGCTGTGGTCTCTTTTTTTGGGTAGGTGACTTACAAAAGTTGTTAGTGAAGATCATTGCCCTTATTCCCTTGGAACCTTAACACTATAAAGTAAAGACGTAAACAGCGAAGAAAATGTTCTTTTCGACAATTCATTTTCATTGTATAGCTTGTACGATCGTAATTGTATTAAACATAGAAATCATAAAACCATTCAGAACACCTTTTCAACTCTGGACATTGAACAGCCCCATATGCGGAAATGCTTCACAATGCTACACAGAGTCCCTCAATATCGCACGAAAGGGACTTCATGATAAAATTCACTATTTTCGCTGACGCCTATTTTGGAAACTCATTGTCTATAGTGACTGGTGATTTTAATTCTTGTGACTGCAGCTTTCTTACAGTGCTATAGGTCATGGAAATGTCGTTAACTTTCCCACCAGATTGGATACTTCTCTTGATCTTGTATTTATAAAATCCTAGGCTCAATAATACTGCGTAGACTAAGTGGTGCTCGGGAGACACAAACACGAGAAAACCAGGCAGGTCTTAGGCTAGGTAGAGGGTGTATTGATCATATCTTCACCCTCCGATAGATTCTGGAACATAGACATTCTTACCAGCATCCAACAGTTGTCATATTTCTTGACCTAAAGGCGGCATTCGATTCTGTCGACCGAGAGGTTCTCTGGCGATGTTTGGCTGTAAAGGGAATGCCGAGAAAATACATTGCACTCATACAGTCAGCCGGGTGACAGCTTACGGCGAGTTGTCATCTGAAGTGGTGAAGACTAGTGGCGTCCGTCAAGGATGCCCATTATCCCCATTCCTATTCAACTTCATCATAGATGTATAAATGGACTTAACCCTATCACACTTCAGCGACTCAGGGATTGACTTGCTACCAGGGAATAATCTCGTCGCCTTAGAATATGCGGACGATATAGTCCTTCTAGGCGGGGACGCTGAAAAAATGCGGAGTCTACTGAACACCTTGAGCAACAATCTTCGTATGTTTGGCAAGCGATTCGCCCCTGTAAAATGTAAGATGATCCTGCAGGATTGGACTTCACTGACCCCTAGATTAGAAATAGGAAGTGAAGTGGTAGAGCACGTTGACCACTTCACTTACTTGGGAAGTACCATCAGCCCCAACGGGTTGATCTCCGACGAAATCTCAGCACGAATACAGAGGGCTAGGTTCGCATATGCCAGTTTACGCCGTCTCTGGCGTACTGCTCAACAGTCCGCTCCGTCCTCCTTTATGGCTGTGACACCTGGCCATTGAGAGTGGAAGACATGAAAAGATTATCTGTGTTCGATCATAGGTGCCTGCGCTCTATCTCCCGCGTGAAGTCGTATAATAAGGTGAGCAATATTGAGGTTAGGCGTCGAGTGCTAGGTAAGGCGGGGAAATCAATCGACGAAACTGTGAAATTACATGGACTGAGATGGTTAGGACATGTGTTACGTATGCCTAGTCATCGCCTTCCTCGATAATGGGCAATGTTAGCTGATATAGGGCCAGGCTGGAAAAAAGCAAGTGGTGGTCAAACCAAAACATGGCACCAGTCAATGAAATCCATAACAAAAGTTAGTTTAAGCCACGTAGGATTGTGTAGACTTCCTGGTTGGTGTCGTCGGGAAGGTAAAAACCAGTGGTTGGAAACAATTGGTTACATGGCTCAAAACCGTTCTCAATGGCTGGTGCAGATGCATCCACTCCTTGTGGCTTATGATTTCCAATGAAACTGTTTTGTTCTCCGTTATTACTATTCCTCTGTCTCACACCTCTGTTTACTGTCTATATTATGCATTTCTCCTACTTTCTTCTCTTTCTTTGTGTGCCACATGGAGTGTGGCGACTTGAACTGCCGCACATATGTGCAAAGTTCTATGTCGAAAACTGACCGACCGATTTATAAATGACTACGGAATATACAAAGCCTGTAAAAGAGCCCCACCGTTCAACTCAGATCATTGTATTGTATGGGTTTTATCCAAAAATTTATGGAAAGTTACACAAGAGAACTTTTTCACACCTTTCCAAGAAAACTGTCCATGAATGTTACTCCAAGGAGAATGTTCAGAATCTTTAAGGGCATGCTCAAAGACACAAACAAGGTGGGACTTGTTTAATGAAGACTCTCTTGATGACACTATCTCTAATTGTGTCTTGACACCTGTTGTCCCAGAGAAACACTCTTCATCAGATTTGACCGATTCTCCTCCCCTCAACTTAAAAAGCTTCGCAGACCAAAAGAAAACTTGATATAAGTATAAAACTTGGGCACTGTGGTAGAGTATAACTCTATTATAGATAAGATTTTATTTTGATAAGTCACACAGTGTTACACAGTAATATTAACTGATGACGTTTCGAGCACAAATTATTACCGCTCATAATCATATCAAGACACTAATCACACAACTTTTTACTTCATTTATATTCATGAGTGGAATTGATGATTAGATATTTGAATAAAAATCAATATAGGATAATGTACATTCAGAAATAATAATATGAGTGTTATCAGTCAAATACAATCAGATGGGAAATAAAACGAGTGTTGTTATAGTCAAAATAAGTAACTTGTTAGAATGTTATGATGTACGTGAATTGAAATAGAATTTTAAGATTCCTTATTATTATCCTCCTTTGATTTGACTGACTAGTGGTAATAATGTCTTCCATACATATCTCTGGTATTTGCGTTAAGTCATTTCTGTTGCATGTTATGGATGTAGACTCGATGAACCAGCCAGGATTCAGTAATCAATCTCTCTCTCCACCTACCTATATTACTCTTTAGAATTTTAACCCTCTCCCACCATATTGTGTGGTTGTGTGTTAATGCATGCAGTCTGATTGCTGAGTTTTTCTCTATATTACTTATCTTCTCGAGGTCAACCATTATTACCTTAGCCACTAAATTCTTATTTTCCGAAAATCTGACTACTCATAATCTTCTAGTTTGACCTATGTAGTTGACCTCACTCACAGTCATTGCAAGGCATTTTGTAAATTATATTACTTTGTTTAATTGGGTCTACCGGGTCTTTTAGCCTTCGGAGCAATAATTTGTGCTCGAAACGTGGTCATCAGTTAATATTACTGTGTAACACTGTTTGTGATTTATCAAAATAAAATCTTATCCATAATGGAGAAAAAGAAAACTTATATAAAATGAAGGATAATACTGGTTCGAGAAGAATTAACCTCCTAATAAAGTCTGAAATGCACAGATTCAATTCAATTATTAAAAAACAAACATACGAATGAAGGGTAAAAGCATGTGTCAATCTTGTTTTTCACTCTCATTGTCATACAAATAAATATTGTATATTGCGCCATCAGTTATCTTTAAAATCACATGGTTTTTCAAATTGTTGGAAAAATTCAGTGAAAAAAAATTAAAACAATAGAAAACTGAAAATTCATTTTAATATTGATTTTTATAGTGTTCTATAGTATGAAACACTCAATAAGTCTGACAAGCTTCGAATAAATAGTGTCTTCCACAAGGTAATTGATCATGTGATTTGAGTGGAGGAATGGACGGCTCAGTATGATTCAATATACAAATTCAAATGTGACTATTAAGATTGTTTAAAAATTCTCATTCGTGAAGAATCTAGAAGACCTGGATTTCGCACGGGGATGATTTGTGTTTTATGTCACACAAAATCGAAGACTTACAAGCGAAAATCGACAAACTGGTCAAAGAAGCAGCAAAGACAGGACTCCAGGAGAACATAGACAAGACGGAGGTGATGAAAATAACCAACCAACGAACAACAACAACGGCAGCAACATCCAGCGCCAATCACCATCAACGGGAGGGATTTGAAAGAGGTTACTTCATTCACTTATGTAGGGAGCATTGTCTCAACTACAGGAGGAACGGACGGACGAGGATGTCAATTCGAGAATCGGAAAGGCGAGAAACACATCCATCAACCTGAAACCAATCTGGAAATCTTCGTCACTCAGCATCAACAACAAAATTCGGATTTTCAATACAAACGTCAAGTCAGTTCTTCTATACGTACGGATCAGAAACTTGGCGGGTCACAAAGAATATTTCCAACAGCCTGTTGCAGACCTTTATCAACAACTGTCTTCGCTCTGTACTGAAGATCAGATGGCCGCCGGAAAGAATCACCAACAAGAAACTATGGGAACAAACAAACAACAAGAACCAATCGCCCAACAAATATGCAGGAGAAAGTGGAGATGGATTGGACACTCGCTGAGGAGGCCGCTGGGTAACATCACGCGTCAGGCCATCGCTCGAGTGGAACCCGAAAGGAAAGCGGCGAGTGGGACGTCCAAGGGTGACATGGAGGAGATCGTGTGAAGAGGAGCTGAAACAGTATGGACTAACATGGACGCAGGTGAAAAGTACAGCAGAAGACAGAAACAAGTGGAGACGTGAAGTTGAAGCCCTATGTTCCACTAGGAACCCAAGGGAACAATAATAATAATAATAATAACTAGTGTGATGTGTCTAGTTAGTCCTTTCTTTCAAACAGACTGAATTCTATCAGTCAGGTGTGCAAGGTCCAAGGCTTCCTGTGGCCGATTGCCTACAACTATCTAATATCATCAAATGCGTATCATCATCATCATCATCATCAATCAAATTTCATGATATTTACTTAAACTCTGATTATCTGTCCACTTCACCTACCTTTAGTATTACGCAACTTTTAAGATCTTACCTAATTTATTTAACTATTGAATTGTCTACATATACACACACATATTACTGCCTTCGTTATTCTTATCGCCACCTGAATAAACCATACTACCATTATTTTGTTATCATTATAATCATCCTTATTAACTACGTTCAAAACATTTACCACATTACTACTTTTATTATTATTTGATCCACAAAATCACCGTCATTGGTTAAAAAATTTTTATATATAAATCTATGTAAATTAGAGCAAAGCCTGAATAATATCTAATCGAAAAAGAACAATATTGTTCGCCTATATGTCTTGTTCGAATATTAACAATGGGCATATTTAAAGGTTAGAAAGGTAGTAGTGGATCTATGCGGAGTGCGATAATCGAACACCTTGTCAACACCGATCATTCCTATAACAAAAAAATCTACAAAGTGAAGAACAACCCAGCAAAGACGATAAGCGCTTCGATCTCCTTTGCATTGTTAAAGCTTTAGCCATTCGCATAGAGAAACTGGAGCTTTACACATACAAAAGAAAATTATTCAGCCACTTCTACTAACATGATAACAACCTTGTTGATTTCTATTGATTTCCTATACGTTTATTTGTTTGTATGTCTCTAGAATTCTTAAATAATTCCATATGTTTCCTTTGTTTCTTTATACGTTCAGATTACGACTCATTCACTGAAAAAAATCATCTTATTACACAACTGTAGTACAACTCCCCCTATGCATTCACATGAATATTAAAAACTATAATTATGACAACTCATCACTTTTGTTATTACACCCTTTTCATGAAAACAAATGTATATAAATCTGTCTGTCTGTTTTCAACACAGAACTTTGCACATATGTGCAGCAGTTAAAGTCGCCACACTCCATGTAGCACACAAAGCAACAGAAGGAAGTAGGAGAAATGCATATTAGAGACAGTAAACAGAGGTGTGAGACAAAGGAATAGTAGTAACGAAGAACAATATAGTTTCATTGGAAATTATAAGTCACAAGGAGTGGATGCATCTGCGCCAGCCATTGAGAACTATTTTGAGCCATGTCACCAATTGTTTCCAACCATTGGGTTTTACCGTCCCTAGGACCTCAAACAGGAAGTCTACATCTTCCTACGTAGCTTAAACTAACTGTTGTTATGGATTTCATTGACTGGTGCCATGTTTTGCTTTGATCACCACTTGCTTTTTTCCAGCCTGGCCCTATATCAGCTAACATTGCCCGTCGAGGAAGGTGATGACTAGGCATACGTAGCAAATGTCCTAACCATATATCTCAATCGATGTAATTTCACAGTCTTGTCGACTGATTTCCCCGCCTTACCTAGCACTCGACGCCTAACCTCAATATTGCTCACCTTATTATACCACTTCACACGGGAGATAGAACGCAGACACCTATGATCAAAGACAGCTAGCCTTTTCATGTCTTCCACTCTCAATGGTCAGGTCTCACAGCCAGCCATAAAGGAGGACGGAGCGGACTGATGAGCAGCATATAAATGGGACTGAACAGCTAAGGCAAAATAAATTCATCGAACTACGCGTTTTGTTTTTATTAATATCTGGATGGGAATTATTCATGAACTAATAAAAAACCTTCTTAATCAACCCATCCGCCGCCAACCACGTCTCACGTGGTCCAGGTACGATTTCCCACCAACAGAACACTCCTAAACCTCGTGTAGCCCACAGTAAGCCCCGTAGGGTCGAAAGGTTCAGCGTGGGGTGTAAAATCAATACCACAGTTATTGCAAATTCAAAGTTTAGGGATTAAAACCCTCCATATTTTCCTCTTCGAATGCGAAGGAATGGGAATCAACCCATTCAGCTTAGAGTAACTGATAAAACATGATATAAGAGTCATTAAAATAACCTTAGAGGTTTTCACATGACATTCGGCTATCAACCAAGGGACGTGTGTACTGCTCAACAGTTCGCTCCGACCTTCTCTATGGCTCTGAAACATGGCCAATAAGAGTTGAAGACATGAAAAGGTTGACTGTTTTTGATCACAGATGTCTACTATCTCTTTCTCACGTTAGGTAGCATAATAAGGTAAGTAATGGTGACGTTAGGCGTAGAGTGTTTGGCAAAGAGGGGAAATCAATCGACGAGGCTATAAAGTTACATACATTGAGATGGCTAGGTCACATGCTGCGCATGCCTAACCATCGCCTCCCCCTACCGACGGGCATTACTAGCTGATATAGGTAGGTGCAGGTTGGAAAAGAGTAAGTGGTGGCCAAACAAAAACATAGCATCCACCAATCCATGAAATCCTTGACAATTAAACTGAGTCAGGTAGGGAGATGCAGACTTCTGGGTTGGGGCTTGCCCTCGGGACTCTAAGAATCAATGGCTGGAGACAATAGGTGACATGGCTCAAAATCTTTGTCAATGGCTTACGCAGATGTATTCAGTCTCTGTAATCTTTCATATTCCTTTCTACCATTACTCATTCTGTTTCACTCTTATACTTGTCAAAACTCTATTGATTCTCTTCACTCATTTTCTTGTCTACCTTTGTGTGCTACTTGGAACGTGGCAACTCGAACTGCTGCACTTTGGTGCCAAGTTCTATGTTGAATCCAGACAGACAGAGACATGAATATCATCCATCATTTCCCTGTACTCACCTGCAACTGGAGGACCGATAGCAGCTGCACAACCTTGAAATAACAACAGGTAACCGAAGGCATTCGTCAAACGATCAATTCCGATTAATTCAACGACTAGAATACTTTTCAGTGATACAAACACAGCTGTAAATTTTTGATAAACAGTAAAAGAAAAGAAAGGAAAATCAGTAGTATAAATATACTCAGGCAAAAAAGTAACTAAAATTAAACAGAAGGCTTCCCTAAAAAAAAGCGATTGATTTCAAAGTTAGATAGACGTAAGTTAGAGGATTCCATATTGGTTTGTTTATTAGATACATCACACAGTGAAACACTATTACTGTTAACTGGATGACACTGTTTCGAACAAAATTTATTACTGTTCATAATCATTCCATCAATCACAATCACACAACTTCGGAACCTGAGTTTTATAGTCTTCTTTGTTCTCTCCTATTTGTCATCGTAGGGGTAGTAAAATTTTCCTGATATCTGCGTGGACAGGTGTTGAATCACTCCTATTACACGTATTTCCTGTCAGTTGATTCGATAAACAAAGCTTCTGTTATCAATCTCTCCCTCCACGCTGCTGTTACATTAGATTTTAAAACTGTCATCTTATCCCATCCTATTGTATGGTTGTGTGTAATTCCATGTAGTGAGTGCTATAACTGAACTATTCTCTAGATTTCTGATCTTATTCGGATCAAGTAATCTAGATTTTGCTACTAGGTTTCTATGCTCGGCTAGTCTGACTAACTGCCCCTGTTCTACTAGTTTGACCTATGTATTTGACCTGACAATCAATGCAGGTAAGGTATTAGATAAACTAAATTGTTTTGTTTCAACGGCTTCACAGGACTGATCCTTTAACCGACAAAGCTTTTTTCTAATTGAGTTTGTGGTTGGTTTGAATGCCAGCCACTTTTATTCCTGCCTTGTTAAGAATTCTGCGTAAGGTTTCCGAGGTTCCTTCCTTGTATGGAATTACTACTGATGATTTAGATTCCTTATTGTTGGTGTTGTCATTATCCTGTGCATGTTTGACATGCATGTCGTCATTAATATTACTATTATTATTATTATCACTATCACTAATATCATTATTTATTTTATTTTTTATTTTTATTTTATTTTTACATTACCCTACATACTTTCTGAATAATTTATCAGGGTAATTATTAAGTTTCAAAGCTTCTCTTATATGCCTCATTTCCTGTCTTAGATTTTTCTTGGTACTATTTAGTTTTTGTGCTCTGTCACTTAAACATTCCACCAATCCTATTTTTACTGACATAGGATGGGATGATGATCGGAAGTCCAAATATCTTCTTTCCTTTTTACGCTACAATCCAACATTGGAACCTCCCTACCTGACTTTCCAATTCATCATAAGTGAATTGAATTACCTCCACCTTTGATTTAATATGTTCGAAAAATCTATCTAATATCCTGTGTTCTATGTACAGTCAATGTGTCATCTACATACCTCCACCATACTTTTCGGGTAGGGCTGAACGTTTCAATCACTATGTTTTCCCACCTATCTATGAATATATCTGTCACAACCGGGGATATTGGTGACCCCATGTCAACTCCCTCAGCTTGTTTGTATATTTTCCCTTGGGATTTAAATACTGTGGAAGTCAGGCATAGCTGCACTCCCAACATTATGTCCTCTAGTAGTGGCACTTTCGTCCTAAGTTCGAGTTCTTGGTCAGAAATCAGTTCGTTTCTGACTGCCTCTACTTACTATCACAGTGCCCAAGTTTTATATATATATATATATATATATATATATATATATATAGTTTGCATATTAAGAGGAAATATAGCTTACCTGAAAATAATCCAAAACCACAGGAGACTAGAACTACAGCCGCATAATATCGTCGTATAGTTGGCAGAGTGAATACTGTTATACTGGTTAACAGTAAAGAGATATTATTCATCCATAAAGAATCCGCCCATTTATAGGTTGTTGACCAGGCTGACGATAAAAAAAATAAATTTATAGAGAAAATTTCATTAAAACAACTAGTCCTTTTGATAAATATGAAGAATGAAAACAAAACAAACGTGGTTCAGCGAAGAGTCTGTTTTCGCCAGCGGCGAATTTATTCACACTTAGCTGTACAATCGCGAATATACATGAGTTATTTTGTATGTGTATGTGTACATTAAGTTTGTCAAACAAATATACAATTGGTTATTGGTTATTTTAACTAAAATTCCCTCTTGAAATGGAAAAAGAATCAAAAATTCCGTTTCTTGATGTGGAACTAACAAGAAGAACTGATGGGAGCCTAAGAGTATAGATCCATAGAAAAGCTACTTGGAATGGTCAACTAACAAGCTTCTATGTAGTTGGGTACCCCCTCAACAAAAGAGGAATTTAATTAAATCACTTGCTACCCGCATCCGACGTATCTGTAGTTCCTATGTTCTAGAAAAAGAATTAGATCTTTTGAGAGAAATCCTCATCCAAAATGGATACCCACCAAAATTCATTGACAAAAATATCAAACCAAGAATTTGGAGGCATGGAACTTCACCTGCGTGCCAAAAAAAAGAAACTCTACATGAACTTGGATTTCAAGGCAGATTTAACAAGCAATGTTCTCAAGAGAAGGATCACATCATCTCTGAGAAGAAAATTCTGTGCAGCAACGCTAAGAATAGTGCTGTCCAGTCACCCACTGATCTGCAGAAGCCTCAAGGACAAGATCCCACATCTGACCACTTCTATGTGCATATATCAGTTCACCTGCTGCTGTCGAGCCAGCCAGGAACATAGGTCGTTCGACGTGCACCATGTCCAAGAGAATTCAGGAACACTATCCAGCATGGTTGTGAGAAGGCAATAATGGTGGTGCTGTAAGAAGTGCGATAATTGAACACCTGGTTAACACTGATCATTCCGTGTCAAAAAACGCCTCCAGCTTCAAAGTAATCTACAGAGTCAAGAATAACCTACCAAAGGCAATGCAGTTTCGGCTTCTTTGTATCGCTGAAGCTCTGGCCATTCACATAGAAAAACCGGAGCTGAGCATACAAAAAAGAATTACTCAACCACTTCTACTGTCATGGTAACAATTTTGTTTGTTTGACTGTTTCTTTAATTGCTCATAATTCTTGTATTCATTTAGAACTCTTACATAGCTTCGTATTCTCTACTTTGTTCAGATGTGTATCCTGAGTAAAACTCAATCATCAAACTATTCATATTGGTACGTAACTCCTTTTTGCCAACTGATTGTGACAAATCATCACCTTTGTTACTACCCTAATTTCATTAACACCCAATTTTCTTGACTGATATTGTATTACGTAACTCCAATTACCAATCTTCACCTGTTTATTTAAAATAACCAATAACCAATTGTATTTTTGCTTGACAAACTTAATGTACGCATACATGCAAATAACAAATAAATATTTGCGATTGTACAGCTAAGAAAATAAATTCGCCGAAAAGAGACTCTTCGCTGAGCTACGTGTTTTGTTTTCACCAATGCCTGGATGGGGAAATTTGAATAGGGCATTTATAAAACAAATTTCGCGAGATGATATCGTCATTTCGTAGTTTGTCTGCAATCGCTTTACAACTAGCATGGTTCACAAAAATGAAATAAAATGTACGGCAATTACTCAGTTATATGAAACAAAAGTACATACTAATGACCAATCATATCTAATTAGGTCTAGTAACCAGTTCATGGTAGGCGAAGGAAAGTTGAAGTCTATTGTTTTTTGTACACATAGTTTAGTCTGTATGTGATCAATCCAAAGTGCTTCCCTCACCTTCAATAACCTTGAATTAGAGTTATGTGGTGAAATAATTGTGAAACAGTCATTAATATTGATTTTGTGACCTGACATTAATAAGTGTTTTGCAATGGATGATGCTGGATTTCTATTCAGATTAATCGCATTGGGATTTTCTATGTGTTTTAATAACCATTTAGGAATATGTTCTTCCCGACGACGTTGCAACATTCTATTGGTTCTGCCGGTACATGTGTGTCACCGGAACTGCGGGGGAAATTGTAGATACAGTTTGAAGTAGACTGCACAGAATTTCGTCCTTTAATCATAGGTACAGGGATCGAAAATATTCGAAATGTGAGGGAAACAAATGCAGAGTAGAATAAGTGTTTAATGGTTGACCAAAGTTTTGAGCTGTCAACTGGATAATTTGATCACCCTTGAGTAGTAGGAGGATAAAGATAGATAGCTTTCTATGGCCCGGAAGCTGTCTTTTCAAGAGGTAGTCTATCCTTACTTTGATAATTTCAAAAAATTAGATTTAACTACTTATAAGTAGGTAAAGTGTTTTCATGATTTTAATTATCACCGAGAGATTTCTAGGTATCCCTGGTTGAATGGTAGTATACCAGTGAGGCGAACAGGTTGTCCGGATTCGATTCCGGGCTAATGCAATCCCAAATGAAAGGGAAGGTAGGATGCGAGGCTAACAATTCCCTTCCTATAAACAAAACAACAGTACTGCTAACGAAATTTCAATGCCTGAAACAACACATTTTGTCCTCAGAGCTCACGAAATGAAAAAAGAAGAATTCAGAAGGTAGAATTATGTAATCACATTGTGGATTGGCATCGTAGAAAAACTTTCATGCGAAGGTAGTGACCATATAGTAGATATATCTCAGGAGGAATCAGTGAAAGTTAAAGCAAGTGAATAAGTCATCCAGGTAACAGTAAAGGGATTCTGAGATAACATTAATTCTGAGAGCAATTCTGAGCCATATCAATGACGCTCTCCGATCATTGATTCTTAGTGTTTTAATAGCCGAATCCAGGTGGTCTATACCACCCCCCACCCCAAAATCAAAGACTTCAGAGGTTAAACATGTGATTCGCTTTGACAACCTCTAACTCGTTTTCCAACGAGTGACATGAAGGAGATCTTGCGAGGAAGAGATGAGAGAGTTTTGTCAATCGTGGACCCAGCTGAAGAGGACGGCAGAAAACAGAAAGAAGTGGAGATGTGTTGTTGAAGCCCCATATTCCACTTGGAACACAAGAGAATAGTAATAATAACTTGTTTTCCAACCTAATCCAATGTCATCAGCTAACCACTGACCACTGAGGAAGGCAATGGCTCGGGATACACAACACATGTCCTAACTATCTCAACTGATGAAGCTTCACAAGCTCACTAACTGGCTTTCCGCCCTTGACTGATTAACACTACTCCAGACCTCAATATGACGAGCCATATTATGCCATTTAACACAGGAGAAAAACGCAAACATTCATGGTCAAAGACAGCTAGCTAGCCTTTTCATATCCTCTGTTTTCGAGGACCATTTCTCACAGGCATAAAGAAGGATAGATCGAGCTGCTGCGCAGTACTCACGTTCTTTGACGGACAGACAGCCATGTTTCATGTCTGCTCCAGAGATGATGAGATAAGTTGGTACCAGTACTGATGCGATTTCCCTAATAAATGAATTCATCAACAGGCACAACTGGTTATCATCACTCCCTAAGCTTTTATACGCCTGCATTACTTAGAATAAAGTGTCTTGATGACTATGACTTTGACTTCCAAAGCAAACTGTAATAAATCCTCATCTCGATTTGTGTAATTTTTCTAACTATCAGTGCAAGATAGAATTCAAATGAAATCACAACAGAGATAAGGCATTTTGAAGCAATTTTAAAATGATTTAATTGAATTTCAGATTTTCCCGTCGATTGATCGAACCGACGTGCTCGGTGGTCTCAGGTTGACATGTCGGCTTCTTGTGCAGATGTTTCGAAGATGTCTGAGCATATAATTAGAAGGTAATTGGTGGATGGTGACTAGAAGTGGAATCCACTAGGATGCGCATTTCGTCCTATTCGGGACTCGTCATCTGCATGTACCTAGCCCGAGCACTTTAGTCCAATCAATCGATGGGAAAATCTAAAATTCAATTAAATAATTAATATAACCCATTGCAAAAGAGGGTGGCTCTTGTGGCACAAGTGGTCTAGTGGATAACGCTTTGGTTGGCATTTGAAACTACGGGCAATGGGTTCCAGCCTCGGTGGGAACACCACCACTCACTGGGGATCCAGATGCACACAGATGACGAGTCAGAAATGGGACGAAACGCACATCCTAGATTCCACTGTTAGTCACCATCCACACCAATGAATTTTCAAATGATTAAACCACATTATTATATATGTGTGCTATAGAATCTTTGCAGTAGATTGAAAACTTGCTAACATATCTTACATATATTTATTCCCCTTGATGAATTTGAATAAAGCACGAACAACAGTGGTTGGTGCAGAATAAGATGATGTTACCATCATTGTTTATTTCGTTGACTACTCATCAGCTGCTTACAGCCTAAGTGAATTATTAAGTTTATGTACAGAAACGGTTTTAACATACTTGAGAATTTTACATGATGTCAGTTGACAGGAGGTTCCAGACTTAATGAATAGTACTCAGAAAATTACACTTAAATAGTTTCTACATAGGGAGTTTAAGTTTAAACAAAATCAGTGCATGCATACAATGGTGAGGGAGTTACGTAATAAAGAACACAACTGCGTAAGTTGGGTAACAGTGTACGGAGTCCAATTCAAATCATAGAAACAAGAGACAAACGAAGTTATGGTATACCAAAGGAGAGATGAGGTGAAAGCCAAGGATTACATAATCAAATGAAACAGAGACTAAATACATAAGATTGTCAGAGCAAGGAAAGACTGATAACTGCTTCTTTCTGAAAACATGTATGTTCTCAATCAAAGTGTCTAATACATGCCTACAGGAGGTCAATAGCTCAGTGGTAACGTTTCTGACTGCAACACTGACTGATACTAGTTCGAATCTCAGAAGGGACATAAGTTCCTTGAAGATTGCAGATACGCCTTACTGACTGATGAGTGTCAACAAGCACGAATTCCAGGTCAACCAACTACCTCTAGCCAACTCAACAGCCATTCTGTCTTAGTTTGAAACTCTTTAACAGCACGATCCAACCGAAGTTTAAACTCAAGACCTTCCGGTTATAAGGTAAACTCGTAAACCGTTCCGCCACTGGGAGCCTATTCAATCGCTCATGAATTCCAGTTTCTACAAATTCATGACCACCTCACATGGCCTCACACTCGACCTGGTGGACCCCATTCACTGGTCACTACTACTTCTCACTAGAACTTCAGGCAACTCTGTCTTGTAGCCAGTCACTACGGAACCTCAGTGGATGCGTACTGATGAGGAGTCTCAAACCAGGACGAAACAGTTGTCCCGTACTCCCTGATAGTTTCCAATGATACTCCAAAATTGAAATCATGCCATGATTAAACTTTAAACAAGTATACTTATCAACTCACCTTTTTCAATGTAAAATGCTGTATGAGAAATAAAAAAAGAAAAAAAGGAGGATTAAGTTTTAAATATGAAAATCATAAACACGTACACATATTTCTTTATTTTGTTCCTTTACGGTTCTCATTGGAGCATAGGGCTTCAAGATAGAGTTCTGAAGCTTCGATAGCAGTGATATTAATGTTTAAGAGGTGACGCTGCCAGCCTCACGCCCAACCTTCCATCTTTGCCTACCCTATTACTGACTTAACGAGGTTTAGGAGTACGTTGGCCGGGAGTCGAACCCTGGTGGCCATAAAGGAGGACGAATCGGACTGCTGAGCAGTACACACGCCCTTTGGTGGACAATCCGCCGGATATCGCGTCTACTAAGCCAGAGACGGCGTAAACCGGCATATGCGAAACGAGCCTTCTGTATTCGTGCTGAGATTTCGTCAGCGATCAACCTGCTGTACCACTTCACTCCTTATTTCTAAGCTAGGAGTCGGTGTAGTCCAGTCCTGTAACATCATCTTACATTTGGCGGGAGCGAATCGCATGCCAAACATTCGCAGATTGCAGTTCAGGGTGTTCAGAAGACTCTGCATTCCGTCAGCGTCTTCACCTAGGAGGGAGGACTATATCACCTGCATATTCTAGGTCAACGAGATTATTCCCTGATGGTAAAAAGTCAATCCCTGAGACTCTGAAGTGAGTCAGGGTTAATTCCATTAGTACATCTACGATAAAATTGAATAGAAATGTGTATAGTGGGTATCCCTGACAGACCGGGATTGATATCTCTAGCATTAATTCAAAAGTGTACCACAATAGCGAATCACCTAGGCTGGTGACCTCATCATATTGCAAAATTTGACTGATAGAATTCATTCAAAGCCAATACCAAGGAACAAACACGCATGATATTGATTACTTTACTTTACTTTACTTCGGTTATCTCCTACGGGAGGATGAGCCGGCTTCATGAACATCTCGAATCATCGCTGCCCAGGAGCGGTGATCTGATGCAACGTTTTGCGACAGGGTTATCCAATTAAGAGAGTTCATGAAGTTTCATGGGAATTTGGTACGAGTGATGTCCCCAGAATCGCTCGGCCTTTTGTTTGAGAGTGCAGCTCTAGCCTTTACACAACCAAGTGTGACCTACAAGGCAGTAGGAGTGGAGTAGGGAGTCCACTATCCATTGGCAGCCAGTGACCAGAGTTCGGTTCATACGCCTTTTTGAATGGGGCCAGACATCCAGGACATCCAACAAGCCCTTTGTCCATACGTCTGCCGGTGAGCTTCATACGCCAGTCGTTGGAGGTTTGGAATCAGGGTTTAGCCATCTCCCCTAGACTGTCATCCAATGGACAGTCAACCCGGTGAAGAGCGCCGGGCATCCGCTTTCGCCCTCTCACTTTGGTGAAAAACACCTCCGCCACGTGAAGGCAGTGAGTAGGACTTCCTCAGGAGAGGCTATGTAAGACGCCTGGTCATATGGGAGCATTTCGAGGGGTGTGCGGAAGGGTGGCCAACCCGCAGCGCAAGGCACCCACCCCCGACCATCCTGAGGCTTTGGAGGCCATGATACTGATTACACCCTTGTTGACTGATGAGCTAATACGAAGTTATTCAGCCAGGATGAATTAAGCGGAACGGGATTCGAACCAGGACACATATCACCTGAGAGTCCATTGATCAAAGAATTTGACAGAAGAATTATATCGACAGAAAAAATAAAATGAAACTTACTAGCAAATAATCGTCCGAATGTATTCCCAGCACCAATTGAAGATATAATAAAACCGGAATCTTCTAGCTTCCAATTCATTTCAGATAATAAATCAGGTAACATTAGAAAGGGAATAACTAAACCTATGAAAAAAATATTTTTCAAAAAAACAATAAAACGAACAAAATGAGGAATAAGAATGAGGTGAAAACAAGGAAATCAGTTTGGGAAATCTACTTCATTAAGCATAAAGAACAAGATTCACATATTCAAAACTGTGAAATCAGTTAGTGCCGCTTCTCTATCGTTCTGTGACTTGATATTTGACCAAAAAGCATTTCTAACAGCCTCCTGCAGACTTGTATCAACAACTGCCGTGGCTGTCTCCATACTAAAGATAAGACAGCCATCCAGAAGGGATTGGTAACAAGAAGTTCGGGTATTGAAACAACAAAATACCTATCGCCCAAGTAATATGCTAAAGGAATTAGAGCTAGGTCAGACATATACTTAGAAGACTTTTGATGGACATCACGAGCTGAGATTTGTAAATTCCGGTTTAATAATACTTTGATAAAGCTATTAGCATTAAATAGCGAAACGTCAGTAAAAACAATATCGTTTTGTTTTTCATTCATTGGGAAATACAAAAACCTTTATTATAATGAAGGTCAGTACACTCATTTTTTGAGTTTTGTACCTTTGAAATATAAAGTAACCTGGTAAAGTGTCTGGTTCATAGAGCCAGGTTAATCTGTTCAGACGACTACCTCAATGAGGAGCTTAAGATTATTAGAGAATTACTTAAAAAAAATGGTTATTCAGATAAATTTATTGAGAAAAATATGAATTCAGCACCAAGGAGAGTCAGTATGGTTACAGTTCTGAAAAAAACCAATGTTCATAAAATTGCAGTACCTCGGTGACAACATCAGAGAAATAATAACACAGCGGCTGAAGAATGCAGTAAGGAGAGCTTATTATGCAGCAGAGGTACCTTGTCTCTTCACAACCACCCCTATTCTACGTTCTATGTGTATCTACCAGTTTGACTGCAGCTGCGGAGCCAGCTACATTGGGCGTACAATTAGTCAGGTTCATCATCGTATTTCCGAACATCATCCAACATGGTTAAGCAAGGGACAAACAAGATCTATTGTAGCACACCTTGTAGATAGTGGGCATAAGATTGATGTTAATACAGCATTTAAAATTATTTATCGCATTCCTACTAATCTTAATTTCGCTCTACGAGTTCGTCTTCTACAGACAGCTTAAGCAATAGGAATCCACCTGATGAAGCCAAACCTTTTTGTTCAGAAGCAATTTGTACAGCCACTTTTCTTACCTTGGCCATCGTTACATGAATGTATAAACCGGACTACTTCGCCCCCCTCCCCCTAAATATCTAAAAATTATAAAAATTATAATTGTCCAAATTAATTATTTTGTTTTTTTTTGACCACTTCATCTTTAATTACGTGTTATCCTTGTAAAATTAATTTATTCTAACCATTTCTACCTTTTAATTGTGTGTATTAATTTTCTTCGTTAATTATCGCCCCGTTGGCATGTTGACACTGACTAATTATTGTTAACAAACATATCAGTGCCACTTGATTGGTAAACTGTTGTTTATTGAAATGAAAATGCTATATAGAATATATTAGAGTAGAGCCAGAGAAGAGGATCTAACTGAAAAGTATATATTTCTTCGCTCAATCTTTCTGTTTTTTCTAAATTTTTTTCTTGTTATTCCTTTGCTGTTTCGACTGGAATATACAGGACCTCGAGATTTCAGCTTTTAAGCTGCAACAGCGGTGGTGTTTTTATTACGACACCTCAGCTCTCCTACCAAATAATAAAGGTGAGGAGGTTCAGATGTCCATTGCCTAAGAGTTGAACCCTCGACCATGTATGGTGTGGTTCAAGGAATATTTGACCGCTTCAACTGCCGAATCACTTGCACATCAATTCAATATGATCATTTAAAAAAAATTCTTACCTAGCATAGCTGTCATGCTTGAGAAAAGAAAGAATAGGAAAGTTGGACTTAATAACAACTTCGGTGATAATAAATCTTGCATAAATGCCCCAAGAGGACTCCATGCTGAACAACAATAGAATATGTTCTGACAAATTCGATTACAATGTTGAAAACACTTTGGACAAAGTGTACTTTCCTGATGATTCAACTGGCCATCAATTAAATCAGCAGTATTATCGTCATCAACATCATCTTCGTCTACACCACCAACATTTAATTCGTCACAACCATCCAAATCCACATCAACATCATCATCTATCCCGACACCTATATCATCCCCATCGACGTCAATATCCCCACCGAAATCGGAAATGTCTTCAGGAAGCGGTTGTTGTTGTTGTTGTATATTGACAGCATTTGTTGTTGTGGTTGCTGTTGTTGTTGTCGGAGGTGGTGGCAGTGGCTGCGGTATGGCTGTTGTGCCTGGTATCCCTTCATAATAGCCTTTTTCACAGTCACCAGTTTGATTAGCTGAACGAAATTTAAGACTGTCTAAAATTTCCATATTATTACTGTTTTGTGATGCTATAGAATCCAGCCTGTCTCTGTACACATTTGCTAAGCCTTGATTCATATTGTTCTCCTGAAGGAATGAAAGAGAACAAACAAACAAACAACAAGACAATGATAATAATAAATAAAGTTGAAACATTTAATCCCTTTGATAAACTTAAATAAGGCATTGGACAGGATAACTATCGCTTTACAGCTAGGACAATTCATCACAATAAAACACAAAACAATCGAGCAAAGAATATTCTTTTCGATAAATTCCTCTTCCAGGCTCTACAATTATATATATGTTTATATACACAGAATATTTTAAATTAGTAGTTAATAACAATATTAGCGTTTTTTAAATAATATCGATTTGTAAAGTATGGTCAATGCTATTGCAGTTCATTAAAGATGCTTAAATTATAATAATAATAAAGATATAATAGCAAATAGAATATCAACTAAAATTAGGGAAATTTCACAAACATTGAGGATCATTCAAACCTAGATGGCCAAGGTAATGATAATGACTGAACTAACTTCTTTTCCGTGCATAAATTAGGCTTATTTATATGAATCTCCACAGCCTCAGCAATATTTGGAAGTCGAACTCTTAAAGCGAAATTCATATTCGTAGGTATGCGGTAAATGTCCCTGAAAGCATGATCAACGTCAATCTTGTGTTCTGTCTCCACAAGATGAGACAGAATAGCGCTGCGAATAGATTTTGTTTGACCTTTCCTTAACCAGGCGGGGTGATGTTCGGAACGAGAAACAATAATAATAGGATAAAATGTCTGAGCAGTTACTCAATTATTTAATTCAAATGCACAAGAGGTGGCTCTTGTGGACTAAGTGGTCTGGTGAATAACGCTTCGGCGTTTAAAACTATGGCCACTGGAAACACCGCCACCTACTTCTGGGTGACGAGTCACAAATAGGACGAAATTCACATCCTAGATTCTACTGCTAGTCATTATCCACTAGATGACTTTAAATTACTCATTATGGATAAGGTTTTATTTTGATAAATCACACACAGTGGTGTTATACAGTCATATTTACTGATGACCACCTTTCGAGCACAATTTATTACCGCTCATAATCATATCAAGTCACTACTCACATAACTTTCTTGCTTCATTTATATACATGAGTGGAATTGATGACTAGACATTTGAATAAAAATCACTATGGGATAATGTACATTCAGAAATAATAATATGAGTGTTATCAATCAAATACAGTTAGATGGGAAATAAGACGACTGTTTTTATAGTCAAAATAAGTAACTTGTTAGAATGTTATAATTAATGTATGTGAATTGAAATAGAATTTTAAGATTACTTATTATTATCCTCCTCTGATTTGATTGACTGATGGTAATAACATCTTCCATATCTCTGGTATTTGCATTGAGTCATTTCTGTTGCATGTGTTGTGTTGGGTGTAGACTGGATGAACCAGGCAGGATTCAGTAATCAATCTCTTTCTCTCTCCACCTACCTAGATTACTTCTTAGAATGCTAACCCTCTCCCACGCACCCTATTGTGTGATTTTGTGTTAATGCATGTAGTGCAATTGCTGAGCTTTTTTCTAAGTTACTCATCTTCTCGGGGTCAACCATTCTTACCTTAGCCACTAAATTCTTATGTTCCGACAATCTGATTACCCCCGATCTACTAGTTTGACCTATGCAGTTGACCCCACTCACATTCATGGCAGGGAATTTTGTAAATTATATTATTATTTGCCACCCTAGTTCCTGCTTTATTAAGAATCCTACGTAGGGCATTTCCCATCTGATTTTAATTGATCAATAACACTCATATTATTATTTCTGAATGTACATTATCTCATATTGATTTTTATTCAAATATCTAGTCAGTTCCACTCATGTATATAAATGAAGAAAAAAGTTGTGTGAGTAGTGTCTTGATATGATTATGAGCGGTAATAATTTGTGCTCAGAAGGTGGTCATCAGTTAATATTACTGTATAACAACACTGTGTGACAGTTTATCAAAATAAAATCTTATCCATAATGAAGTTATACTCTACCACAGTGCCCAAGTTTTATACTTATTTCAAATTACTCAGTTATTCTTTTCAGTTAAGTTTTGATTTTTTCTTTAATTAGTTGGACGCATATGTTTGACCTCTGTTGAAGTAACAGCTCCTAGTGAGGACACCTCAACGATGTCTGAGGATTAACTCGAAGCAATTTGGTGGATGGTGACTACTGGCAGTGGAATCTAGGATGCACATTTTGTTCTTTTGGGACTCTATAAAAAAGGAATGTATGTCGAGAACCAATCATATTTTAGTAGGTCAAGTAGTTCATGGTAGGCGAAGGTTGAAGTCTGTGACTAGGAGGGATGATGGATCAATAAAGCAATTCATACTAGATGACTGGAGGCGTTTGGCAGGAAGCCTTCGACTTAGGTTTCGTGCTTCTTGGCACTAACTAGTCAGGCAGGCCAAATACTGAATTACAACAAGAACAATCCAATAACACACAAAAGGAATTGCATACAAACACTATTCAAGAGGGCCAGGACTCACTGCAGCACTCCAACCTTAAGGAAAATTGAAGAACGATATCTGATGGACGTCTTCCAAAGGAATGGATATCCAAGGAATTTAATCAAAAGACATATACCTCCAAGCCAACCTATCACACCAAAAGCCCCCAAGGAAAACACAAAGAAAGTCGCCCTACCATATATAAAGGATATATCAGAAATCACTGCAAGACTCGTCAAACCTTTAGGAATTGATGTCGCACACAAACCAACAAAGTCACTCCATTCAATTCTATGTCAACCAAAAGACTCAATAGCGAAGGAAGATAAAACCAACATCATCTACAAAATAGATTGTATCAACTGAGAAAAACACTACATTGGCCAAAGTGGACGTCCCCTTCGTCTTCGTATCCACGATCATAAGCTAGCCGTCAAAAGACACGACATCCACTCCCTCATATCACTACATACAGACAACCACAGACATCAATTCGACTGGGACAACGTTCAAATATTAGACAGAGGAAACAACAAGAATGCTAGAGAATTTTTAGAAGCTTGGCATTCCACTGAATCATCAATCAATAGACACATCGAGATAGACAGAATTTATCAACCGATAAGAAAGATACCTCACACACAAAGGGTCAAAGTTCAAGTCAAGGAAACAATCACTACTAATACAAGTAGTCTGGAGGGTGTGAAAACACACAAAACAACCAATCACGTCCAAGGCCACCGACCAGGAGAGATGATTAATAAACTCGTGGAGAAATCCTAAAGCTCACTTCAAATTGAAGTATACGCTGGAGATGTCGCCTAGTAGGGCGATGAAAGCTTCGCAAATTAACTATCCAGCTCAGAGAACACAACCACATCAAAATCATCCACCTGAGCTACAAATCTTCTCCATCATACACTAGTAGGTCGCCCAGTTATCTATTATTCACATTGTTTATTATTTTGATTGACTGTACAATTTATATACATTCAAATGGCAGTGTTAACTAACGATTTGCTATTCCAACTAATACAGTTTCTGATATAATTTTCATTTGCTTTTATTGGCTATTTACATTCCAATATTTGTGGATTTGCGAATAGCAGTCAGCTCTCTGCCTCAACTTCACTGGCTTTGAAAAGGCCTTCAGAAAGACAGAGAGGTGATTTGGAAACTACTTCGCTACTACGGGGTGCCGCCAACAATTATACATCTCATACAACAGTTGTATGAGAACGCTGCATGCCAAGTAATCCACAACGGGAAACTCACGGAATCCTTCGAAATGAAGACGGAGGTAAGACAAGCTGATTGCCTACTATCTCCAGTGATTTCCCGACTGCGGGTGGTAGACTGGATAATGCGACAGACAGCTAAGCATAAAACGGTCCCACACAAAATACTTGGAGGATCTGGACTTCGCCGATGTGATATATGTCTGATTTCCCACAAATTGGAAGCTGTGCAAGTGAAAAGCAACAAGTTGGCAGAAGAAGCATCCAGAGAAGATAGGTCTTCAGGTGAACATAGAGAAGACAGAGGTGATGATGAACATTCCTGGCCAACAGCAACAGCAACAATAAGAGACAACAATCAGGATAAATGGGAGAAATCTGACAGAAACAACCTCCTTTACCTAACTAGAAAGCATCGTTTCAACTACAGGCCGACGGAACTGATAGGGATATGAAGGCGAGGATCTATCGGGAAAGCAAGCTGAACTTTCATTACTCTCAAGTATGTGTGGAGATCAACAGAAAGCACTCAGTATGTAAAATAAGATTTGGATTTTCAACTCTATGTGAATTCAGTGCTACTATATACGGATCAGAGACTTGGCACTGCGCCGTGTTACGAAGGCCACTTCGAACAAACTACAGACCTTCATCGACAGCTGTCTTCGTTAAACTCAACTCAAAATCAGATGGCCGATCAGAAAAGATCATCAACATGGATCTCTGGGACCGAACCAACCTAACAGGAACTAATTGTGGGACTTATATGCAGGACGAAATGGAGGTGGATTGTGGTCATACTCTGAGGAAACAAACCATCAAGTGGGTGACATCACACACCAGGCCATCGCTCGAGTGTAACCCAACGAATGGGAAGTGGCGAGTTGGTCGTCAGTGCGAGGGTGACATAGAGGAGGTCATATGAAGAGGAGATGAAAGCAGATATGGAGCCAGAT